TGAAATCTGCATAGAGCAAGATTAATTAACTCGCTTCGGCAGACGAGCAGCAAGATAAGCGGAAAGGAGCACCAGCAGCAGCAACAACAACAACAAAAAGAGAGTCTGCAATATCAACGGCAGTATCTAAAGACACAGCAACATTAATAGCTTCAGAACCAGCAGCAACATCAGCAGCAGCAACATCGGCTTGAAAAAGGGCAGCAACATCAGCAACATTGATAGCAGCAGCATCTACAATTGCTTTTAAATTCTTAGTTGCAATACCTGCAACAGCAACATCAGCTTGGAAAAGGGCAGCAACATCAGCAACTGCAACAGGAGCAACAGCAACATCAGCAACATTCCTAGCTGAAGCAGCAACAATCGCTTATAACTCCTCAGCTGCAAGAGCAATCTTTAGTAGCCACATCAACATTAACCATAGATTGAAGTAGGTGAAACCCTGTTCCAGGATGCGACTCTTTTCCAGCAGTAACCAGGCTGCAACATCGCCACCGATGGCTCACAGTTCCAGCGATGAAGCAGGTGAAGTCATTGAAAATTCGCACACCAGAAGAGCGGGACGCTCCATACTCAACAGCAATGGGGCAAAGTCAAGGTCGCTGGAACGCTATTCGGGCGCACCTAAGATCCATCAGCAGGCGCTGGAGATGCTGCCGCCCTATGCCACGCCCACGTGCAGCACTCGCCGCCGCCTCCTCGCCCCCTTTCGCTCACTGAAGCGTCGCAGTCGGAGCAGCAGCAGCAGCAACGAGTCCCACCACTTCGGCAACCACCTGAACAACCTGGTGGTTGTTAATGTAGGGGCGTCGGCAGCGGTTGGGGGCGTGGCCAAGGCCAAGGCCAGTTCGCAGAGCGGCGACAGCGGTACAGGCGGCACGGAACTGGAGCACGAAATGGAGCAGGACGATGAGGAGGAGGAAGGGGAGGACGAGGACGAAGGCGAGGAGATGGATGAACTGAGTTTAAGTTACTCCCAACTGAGCAGCAGTGGCTGCGATGAAGCCGCAGCTGAGGATGTTGCAGATGATCAACCCGAAGTTACGGTTGCAACAGTCGCTGCCTGTGTGCAACATGTTGCCGATGAGCGACGCCGCAACATCCTGTCGCTGTACTCGTCCTCGTCGGAGGAGCAGCTCCACTGCCGCCTGGGCGACATCACACTGGTGGACGACACCTACTCCAACTACGATCCGCAGAACGAAGCTGAGAGAATGTTCCTTCAGGTTGTCGGAATTTTACGCGACGAAAACGAGGTTTGTGCATCCGCTAACAGTCGTGGTCAGAAATGTTGGTCCCATTTACTACATAAATGTATTTCGACCTATACAATTTTTTAAGGGATTTATTATTGTTTTGAACTTTTTAACAAATATAACTTAAGACCGATAAAATGATAACGATTCAAGTGTTTTTACGGCGACATTCAGCTTTACTTTCAAACCCACCTTAAGTAGGAATTTCTTTATAAATTTCTAGTCAAATTTTTTATATTTCACGCATTTTAAGTTAACTTCATAAACTGAAGTTTATATAAGGTTAAAAAACTTATAATTTGATTGACAAATCAAAGAGAAGAAACGCGAATATTTAAATGTCGGAAATAAAACATTTTAATTAATATTTTAATTAAAAGAATCTTTGCCTGCTCTCTGTTTATCCATCTCAGTTTCTTTTATCATTTCCTCTGAAATCTTGATTAATTCCCACCCACAGCCATAAAGGATTCGTTTTCGTTGCTGGTCGTGATTTATTTAAGTAGACGTGTCCTTGCTAAAAAAAAAGGAAATGGCAAACTGCTAACCGAGTTTTCTTTTCTTTCCGTTATTTTCCGCTTTTCTGCAGCTTCTCGCCCAGTTTTCTCTTTGAGAGAAACTTTTTCAGTCTCACTTGCAATTTCAATTAATTAATGCAAGCAAGGATTTCCGTTTAAAGCTTCAATGAGCAAGAGGTAAAATGAGAGAGTTGAAAAAAGCTGGAATGAGCAACAGTTTGACAAAATGATTGATTCAATTGGAGAAGGAGAATTTCCCTACTTAAAACGCAATGCTATCTGCAATCTCAGTCCCGCAAAATGTCAATTAAAGGTAGAAATGTCTGGCAAAGCTTTGACATTTACCTTCTCCATCCTGTGGCAAATACACAGCATTTTTAATAAGCTATGTGGGTGGGTGCACTGAGAAAAATTTCCTAAATGTTCACAAGTTAAATCTTTGAATTAAATAATCATTAACTTCTTATAGATTTTCCTAATCTATTATTGAGATATAGTTATTATTTTTAGGCTCTAAAAATGGCCATTCTTAATTTTCAAATGAAAATGAGAACTGCATTATATTTTTTCTTGTGTTACTCGGTGTGATGCCATAGAAAATATGGCGACAGCATTGGCTTTGTACACTTAACCAAGTTCCCTGCTCGACAGCCGCAGGTGGAGCCGGGCCAAGGAATTGTTATGGAGTCAAGCGGATGGTATTAAATTACACAGAGTTGCACTTTTTAAGTACACGCCACGGACAAACGCCCACAACTAAACCCCCCAACCGCCCATTTTGCACCCACTCCTGTTGACTTTGCAAGGATTCCTTTGGCAAAGGCCCACAATGCATGGAGCCTGGACTTTTCTTCGTCGTTTGCTGATTAAACTTCTGGCTGTCGACGGCCAAGAAGGCAGCTTTAAAAGTGCATTGCCCTTGTTATCAGTGAGCCAACCCAACGCCCTCCGCATCCCCGATGTTTCAGTTTTATTTTTTTTTTTCATAATAATGACTTCGATGGCAAACAGCTTTCTTGTCTCTTTGTTGCGGCTGCCACTTTGTTGGCTTTTTGCCACTAATTAATGGAGGTGCCGCGATTGCACAGCAACGAGGGGTTTGCATATACACATTTATTGTAAACATCAAATTATTGATTGCCAGCGACAAGTTGGCCGCAGCCTTTGGGCGCCTTTGTTGGTTGCCCTTCCCGCTCCGCTAATTAAAAAACAAACAGCTGGCAACTCAAAGCTGCCACACACAAAGGATTTTCAACTGGAGTTGCTCTCAGTGCAGCAGGAAATAATTTGTGTGCCTAATTAGCAGTGGAGGTGGGTTGAGAGGTGAAGAAGTTGCAACTGCAACTGAGGTGAACCCAAAAGAAATGTTTGCCTTTGAGCTATGCGAAAAAAGATAATGAACCGAGGAAAACCACCAAAGGGGCTTTCAATAACACAAATTTAAATAGGAATAGTGGGGAGTTGGAAAAAAGAATGGGTTTATTATTAGTACAATTATCGTAAATAAAATTCAAAGTTTGCAAATTGTATAAGGTTTCTAGATCATCCTACAGGCCATATATGTTAACACACTGTTAGTTTCGTTTTAATCAAAAGTACAATTAGTGTATTAAGAAATAAAGTGAAACAGTAGAGTATAGAACATTTAAACGGAGATCTAGTTTAATTACAAAATTTTAAACCTTATAGATTGTTACATTCGAACTCCTTAATTTTTAATTAATATCTAAAATGGGTTATAGGTTTTTACTACACCAGCTATCACGCAAAAAGTGTAGCTTATTTTTTAAGTTATTCAAGACAATGCAACAATTGCCCCTGGGAAATGCCACAAACAAGGGCTCTAAATAAAAAATACACGAATTCGCCCAACCAAACACATGAACAAATGCCTGTACAAGTGCATTATGGGGCATAAACTTGCCCTGGGAGCCACAAAGAGTTAAAGGCTGGAAAAGCTAAGGCAAAAGTTCCAAATCAAAAACACAAACTCGAAGAAAACTAAATTAAAAACCTACACAGAAGCCAGCAACGAGGACGGGTCGAAAAGTGGGCGGAGCCAGGAGGGCCACTGGGAAAACTAAATGAAATAATAAAGAAAACTAAAGGGGGGAAGAGGGGTGGAATGGGAGGTGGGTGGACTGATTCCAGAACTCCTTACTCCTTGCGGGCTCCAGAAACTTTTGCTTTGCCAAGGTAAATGCATTTTGCTTGTTGCATGCAAAACGCCAGGCAATGAAAGTTTCTGTTGCCGGGTTATGGAAATGGAAAATGGTGGGAAGTGGAGAGTGGGAAATGGGAAATAGGAAGAGGAAAATGGGCAATGGGGTGTCAAGGTAAAAATTGAAAAGCGAAAATTTTCTCAGGGGACTGCGGAGTGAAAATGGGCCAAATGAAACGTGCGCAGATGTTGCTCCTTTCGCCTCCTGTTGCTCCGTTTGCTCCTGTTTCAGCTGCCGCCTTTTCCAGCTTAGAGTTACAAAAGCGCCAAATTGGCGCAGCGAAATGTGCAGAAAGTGTGAAAGAAGAGAGCAGGGAGTTTTTCGGGCATGCCAGTGCATACAAAGGACATAAACGTTAAAGCGCAAGCTGCCTGCTTTTAACTGCTAATGAAGAAGCCACTGCACACACACTTCAAGAAATAGACAAAAATAGACGAAGCCAGCGAGGCGAAAGGGGCTAAAATGGAGCACCTGTATCTGATTTGCACGTACTTGTGGAAAAAAATTATGTTTAAGTTAAGATTTTTGCAGAAAAGATTTAAAATACATATAAGAGAACAACCTTAAAACAAGTACTTATCATCTTTAAAATAAAATCAAACAAAAAGAAATCAAACTAAGTTATTATGTAAAAAAGAAAGGTAGAAGATAATCGCCCTGGCTAACTAATCCGATTTAAAATACGAGTATCTACCATGTCCACTAACCGGAACTGATTGGTATTACTTCTTATGTTGTCTGGCAAGCTGGGCCAACATTTTAATCCCCTTAGGATGGCCATAATAAGCCGATGCTGCAACGTAAGCTCCACAAAGCCCATAATCATAATTAAATTAAAGTTGTTAAAACGCTTGGAAGTAGGCAACGTGTCTTGCATTATGCTTGTGTATCTGAATGCATTATCTTGTCTCAGTATAACATAAAGGAAATATGCAAGGGATAATTACCGTATTACTCAACCAACCACGTAACTAATTTTCCATTCTGATTTGTGTTTACAGAAAATGCGTCAGTTCCAGAAGATCCTGGAGGATCTGAGCTCCCGAGTTGCTTTGGCCGAGCAGACAAAGACATCCTGGCTGCCGCCTTCTTCGGTGGGCGAGGCCAACGAGCAGATGCAGCAGTTGCAGCGACTGAGGGACAAAATGACCACGGCCAGTGCTCTTTTGGATGACTGCAATGAGCAGCAGTCCTTCTTCACTGCAAACCAGGTGCTGGTTCCCACTCCCTGTCTCTCCAAGCTGGAGGACTTGAACACGCGGTGAGTGCTCTGGCATAATTGAATCCTTTATTTTTATTGTTTTACTTACTCGATTGTTTTATTAACGACAGCATGAAGCTCCTGCAAATCGCGATGGACGAGCGTCAGAAGGTCCTTTGCCAGGCCGGAGCTCAGCAGACGCACGAGAACGGCGACGATGGACGCACCACTTCCAACAGCGGCACCATCGGACCGCTGCCCAATCTCGGCCAGAGCGTCAAGCCGCCCTGGGAACGGGCCACCACTGCCGCCAATGTGCCTTACTACATCGAGTGAGTAAAAAATCAAGATTAAATAGTCAGAGGATCTACATATAACAAATTTGGCAGCAAAGCATAGACTTAAATTTAAGGCAAGGTATTTAATATGATAACAATTTGTCCAACATGCTTACCTAAATTAATAACTTGAACTCTAAAAAAAAAAAAAACATCAGTTTAACTTATATTAAGTTTAGATTTTCGAAAGCATAAAATAAATACTTGGCAAATTCGTTTAGTATGGGTCCAATGGTAATTATCAATACATATTTATTAAATAATTCATCCTTTTTTGAATTTAATCACTGATAGCTATGCACATTTCAGATTTAATTATATATCTCTACAATTCAACCTATTTTTTATTATTTACAGCCACGGACGCGAGACGACGCACTGGGACCATCCCGAGATGATTGAGCTGATGAAGGGCCTGGCAGATCTGAACGAGATTCGCTTCTCCGCTTATCGAACGGCCATGAAACTGCGATCCGTTCAAAAGCGATTGGGTGAGTTGGGAACCTTATATTACACATATTCATCAAGCTAATTATTATATTTTCTTACCTATAGCTCTCGACAGGATCAGCATGTCAACGGCCTGCGAGTCCTTCGATCGCCATGGCCTGCGAGCTCAGAACGACAAGCTGATCGACATACCCGACATGACCACGGTGCTGCATTCGCTCTACGTGACAATCGATAAAATTGATTTGACGCTGATGCTGGACCTGGCCATCAACTGGATCCTCAATGTCTACGACTCGCAGCGCACCGGCCAAATCCGAGTGCTGAGCTTTAAAGTGGGACTGGTGCTCCTCTGCAAGGGTCACCTGGAGGAGAAGTACCGCTACTTGTTCCGCCTGGTGGCAGACACCGACCGTCGGGCGGACCAGAGGCGACTTGGACTCCTGCTCCACGATTGCATACAGGTAAGAGTCCAAAAAAATGTGTATCAGTTGTAATTCCATTCTATCTTTATTTCACTAAAATACATTTTAATTTATTCAACTCTTAAAAGTATTAAAAATGGAAATAGTTATATTTTGTGATGCATGATAAGTCCCCGCTGAAGTTAAATCAAGCTTTAACTGGTTTAGATAAACCATTCATATAATTAAATGATTTTAAACTGTCATTTTTTAGAACTCCGTAATTAATGAATGTCAATTTGTGATTTCTAATTAGTATAATAAGTCATTATAAAGCAAAAAAAAATGGATTAGTTAGAGTTCTAAATGAATTTTTCAATTACGCGATTGAATGACCCCGTATTAAATTACAATAACAATTGTTGATAAACGATTAGCATTTGCAGAATATAAACCACTTTAAAGTTCGCTTAATACGCATAAAAAAATTGTTTTTGCTGTTGCTGAAATACAATTGTTATTAACCTGTTAAGCCAATCAGCTTATTACCTTAATGCTACTTCAAAAATTTAAAACAATAACAATAATTCTACTTTAAAAGCAATAATTCTATTTAAGCAATTAAATATGATTTTCATTAGTTATTATTATTTACATTTTATAAACTTACAAAAATTTTAATAATTGAGCACACACCATCCCTTTTTGTAGGTCCCCCGGCAACTCGGCGAGGTGGCCGCCTTCGGAGGCTCCAACATAGAGCCCTCGGTGAGGTCCTGCCTGGAGCAGGCTGGCATCTCGCAGGAGGCCATCGACGGTAACCAGGACATCTCCATCGAGCTGCAGCACTTCCTCGGCTGGCTGCAGCACGAGCCGCAGAGTCTCGTGTGGCTTCCAGTATTGCATCGGCTGGCCGCGGCGGAGGCGGCCAAGCACCAGGCCAAGTGCAACATCTGCAAGGAGTATCCGATCGTGGGCTTCCGCTACCGGTGCCTCAAGTGTTTCAACTTCGACATGTGCCAAAAGTGTTTCTTCTTCGGCCGCAACGCCAAGAACCACAAGCTCACGCATCCCATGCACGAGTACTGCACCACTGTAAGCAGGATCCTATTAACTTTACAGGCAGTTGTACTTCAGTTACTCATTTTGCTACTTATTCTGTAGACCACATCCACCGAGGACGTTCGTGACTTTACGCGCGCCCTGAAGAACAAATTCAAGAGTCGCAAATACTTTAAGAAGCACCCACGCGTTGGCTACCTGCCTGTGCAGAGCGTTCTGGAGGGTAGGTTTATAATTATTAAACTACATACAAAGTGTTTAGATACTCTGAATAATTTTTAGTAAAATAACATTTAATTTGACCTCAACGGTTAAAATCTAACTAAACTAAAATTTATAGTTTAAGTTTCATTTGTATCATATATAAATCTTAAACCGATTGTAATTATAAATAAAAAGGTGTAAGGATGTACTGTTTAATTGTGATTTATGTCACATATTAATCTCTAACTTAGCTATTAATTCGGTTAATATCACATATAAATCCCAAACATATATTATTTAAAGTTATCAGGATACTTTTGAATTCGATTGATATCAAAAATATATCAGCTTATTAATAGTTTTTTATTCAATTGATTTATTTTATTTTTAATGACCTATTTTATTTTCCCTTCATTTTCAGGTGATGCACTTGAGAGCCCTGCCCCCAGTCCACAGCACACCACCCACCAGCTGCAGAACGACATGCACTCCCGCCTGGAGATGTACGCCTCTCGATTAGCTCAAGTGGAGTACGGCGGAACGGGATCGAACTCCACGCCGGACAGTGATGACGAGCACCAGCTGATCGCTCAGTATTGCCAGGCTCTGCCCGGAACCAGCAACGGAAGTGCGCCCAAGTCTCCTGTTCAGGTGATGGCCGCCATGGATGCGGAGCAGCGCGAGGAGCTGGAGGCGATAATCCGGGATCTCGAGGAGGAGAACGCCAACCTGCAGGCGGAGTACCAACAGCTGTGCAGCAAACAGCAGAGCGGCACTCCCGAGGACTCCAATGGCATGCAACACTCCAACTCCAGCATGACCGGTCTTTCCGGACAGGGTGAACAAGGACAGGTATTATTTATTATTATTAATTTGAACTCTTTATTAACTTGCTTTTATAAATCCAGGACATGATGGCGGAGGCCAAGTTACTACGCCAGCACAAAGGTCGCCTGGAGGCGCGCATGCAGATCCTGGAGGACCACAATAGGCAACTGGAGGCCCAGTTGCAGCGGCTTCGCCAGCTCCTGGATGAACCGAACGGCGGTGGCAGTAGTGCCACCAGCAGTGGTCTGCCCAGCGCTCCCGGCTCCGCCTTGAACTCCAAGCCAAATACGCTGCAAACACGCTCGGTGACCGCTTCGCAATTGAACACCGATTCCCCGGCCAAAATGAACCAGCAGAATGGCCACTACGAGCACAACTCAAGTGAGAGGGGTGGGATTATCATTTGGGGGATAAAATATGCGTGGTGATTTGCTTTAGCTGTGTGGCAACTTGTTCCCAATGGAGCTTATTAGCTTATTTTTGCTTATTTGTTTAACCAAGGGGATTGAGGTCTTGTACGAGATTCCTTTCACTGCAGTTTAGAAATCAACACAAGGCAGAATAGCACTTGTACAGTCAAGTTAGATTTCAGCAAGGCATTACAATAGTTAGATCCAAAAACCAGTATAGGAACAGAAGAGTATAAAAATAAAACTGGTAAGATCAGGAAAGGCTAACACTTTGAAATTGATTACCAAAAATTCTGTAGCTAAATTATTATTTACTAAGAAAACTATCTATCGGCTGTAACTAAACTAACAGGCTTTAATCAGCGCAAACTTTATCAATTTGCCTGTGAGTAAGGTATCAACATGGGAACTAATGAATACTGGTTAGGAACTTCCCCCTACAAGTTAAGGGTTAGGTTCACAGAGAATGACAGCCTACCCCAGTAGCAACAGCAAAGGGTGCCCTTCTGCCAACTAACCTCTAATTGTGTGCTGTTCTTGTCTGTTCTGCTCCACCCCCTCACCCCACACACCCTTTCACGCTAATGCAAACCCCATCAATGTGCACAACCCATCGAAACCGAAACTGAAACCGCAAACACACACTCGCAGAGGGAATTATGCTGCCCGGGATGAACAGTGAGTTGCAGCAGCAGCACGCCCAGCTGGCCAGCCTGGCGGCCAAGCATCATCAGCACCAGCTTAGCGGAGCCCTCAACGCGTTGCACCAACAGCAGCAGCAGCAGCAGCAGCAACAACAGCAACAGCAGCAGCAGCAGTTGCAGCAGCAACATCCGCAACAGCAAAGGGGAATGATGACGGGCAACGGCGGACTGGACATGTCCGGCGGCATGCAGACATCGGGCGGGTATCTGGGAGATGACGGCCGACCCCCGCCGCCCCCGCACTCTAGTCTCATGCAGCAGCAGCAACAACAGCAGCAACATCAGCTGCAGCATCAGCAGCACTTGAATGGTGCGGAAATTGCCGACAGTCAATGTCACCTTTTGTAGCCTGCTCAATTTTCTGACCGCCTCTGTTGAGTTTGTGTTTCGTTTGCGATGCCTACTTTCAGGCACCGGATTTTATTTTCGATTCGATTTTCGATCCGGGTCGAATCTCTTTTGTTGTTTGTGTTGATGTTGTCTTCTTTGGTTCTATACCCTCTATAAGTACTAATCTCGATTATTTCTCTTGCTCTGCTCTCGTTCCACTGCCCCTCCGTATTGCAGATCTTGCCTAGAATGTGTTGGATTAAAGCGGTAATGCAACGATTCGTGTTGTCACTTTACTATTTCAGCAAATCAAGTCAAACATTCAACATATTTGTAACCGGAATTTGTCTCTCCGCAGAGAACTCTAGTGGATTGGTGACCGTCATCACCGAACAGGAAATGGAGAGCATCAACGATGATTTGGACGAGACGTCGAGCAGCAACACCACGAACACAACGACGACGACGACCACGGCAACCACGGAGAAAACCTGCGTGGAGCTGCAAAAGTAACACCCTCGATACTTAATTGCATGGCACTAGACTACAAAACAGAAATCAGTATAAAAATCCAAAAGAATTAACTGCAAGTGAGGAAATCCAATTGGCTGGCCTGCAAAATATTCTAAATAATCATACCTAAACACCTAAAGATAGATCCATATAACTATTGTGGTAAATATATTTATACAATATTGCATACGAGGAATCGGATGGGCGAGGACTTGAAGGAGAGCTCGCAGAAAGCTGAGAAAACTTTTTAGTAGTTATGAAAGATACAAATCTTTATATATTATATACAAATATCGAAGCATAAGTAAGTGGAACATATTGAAAGCTGGAAATAATGCAGAAATGATTTAAAGATTAGATAAGCTGTAACTCCCACACATACATACCTACGATATATTAACAAAAACACCTATATCATAATTGAAACATAATCATAATTTGCTAGTACATGCAAAATTGTTATAACTCGCACTTTTTCAAAAACTGATGGGATGAAAACCAATTTCAAAGATACAAAACATAAAGCTAACGCAAAAGAAGTTGTGTAATTGCTCTCATATCATTTTGAAGCTTATACAATAAGCCTTTTAATGTAGAAATCAAAACATGCAATCAGTTTTAATTTGTATCCTTATTTATTCCGAGTTCTTGTGTATTATTTCGTAATATTATTTAATATTAATATCTGTGCTAACTGAAAGTGTGCTGCAATGTTTTTAATTAAAGAACTATTATTGAAAATCACCGTCTTTTTGTTTTCGTTATATTTTTGGTTTGTAGACCAGATGATTTTTATGAACCTAATCATATGCTGACGAATACGATCACTAAATGGACCACCTTTTTCTATCTACTTAATCGAATCGAATCTTATCCAGAATCTACCAGAACCATCAAATAAATTAAATAATCCTCACCATTCCAATGAAACTAGTCAAATTACACTTGGATAACTCAAATATACTAACGAATCAAATGATATTGAAAACTGCTTTAAAATACCTAAATACCACAAAGTACTAATCGAACCGATAAATTTAGATGTCTACAACTGGATACCCAATATCGTACAATACTCACATCAATATAAGCAGAAGATATAACCAAAAGAGAGAAAAGTTTTAACCTAGATATGCCAGAGATTAATAAATATTTATAGATATATCAGAATTTAGCTATATATTAACAAAAAGCATTTTATTTTTTTTCTCTTGAAATTTCCACCTTTAGTTAACGAAATTTTACAAAAATTAAAACGAAAATAAGGACAATATGGAAACAATTTTAGGAACTGTTATTATTTAAGTCTCTTATCTATCGATTTGGTTTTTTAACTAGTTTCACTAACCACTAGAATTTCCAAGCACTTAGTAAATGACATGAAATGACTATAAATATAGAATGAATTATATAATGAGAAGTAGCTATCAACAAAATGCAGTTAGCTAAATTTTCAAACACTTCTGTGTAGTGAAATGTCCCCATTATGAGTATTTTTCTAACCATAACGTACCAATCCAAACCGAATCGAAGTGCGGAATGACGTCCTACCAATAACCAATCAAGTTTAGTAAAAGAAAACCCTCCGTTTCAAGTTATAAACAAATGAACCAAAACCGAAACAAAAATGCTTAAATCAACTATCTAATCATTAGTGAAACATATCCCATTCAAACTCATATTTATAACGTTTACATAGGTCGAAAACCATTTCTAGGAGTACGTAGTCGAGGACGAATTTAAAGCATCAAGTCGAGCAACTGAAATCTGAGTTGAGAATAGCCAAAGCTGCCATTTGTTTGTCCCCAATTTTATACTGATAAATGATATCAAGAACGCAATTCAAGCATATCCCGAAATAGTCTTCATCATCCAGTGGTTGTCTACAATAGATTTAAACCTAATGCGAAAAGTCGATGAAGAAATCGGATGGAGAAATCCGCGACGAAGCCAAACAATCAACGAAGAAATTATGAATTAAATATTATACACTTGTCAAGGAATATTGTGAGCTATATTAGCCGCCTAATTATCGTATCTACACCTTACATTAGTCTCTTATTCTAAGCAGATCTACTTAGCTAAATTGTGTCCAACTGTAAAGGCCTCTAGAGCACAGCACTTTGTATGGTATATCAGCCTAATCCCTTAGTTTAAATAATATTACACATCAAATCAATCTGAGAAGGATAGACACAAAGCCCCGAGCTTGGCAACTAATCGTTTGTGTTGGAATAGAAGCTTCGAAATTAATTTAGTGGTAGCAGGCATGACTCAATTGTACCTATCTTTTGATACCGTTTATTACAAAACTAAGGACTATAATCGTATTTAAATTGTATACCTATATGAGTGCAGCGAGACCAAAACGCACTCACCATAATGATGAATGAACTTTTGAAGTCAACCGGAAGGGAGGGAGTCTATAACGATATCGAACACATTTCAATCTGTTCTACGAATGGTAGCTCATAGAACCTATTATACATAACACAATAATAAATGAAACATTATGCATTGAACTAAACTTATTTATAACATACGGTGACATACTCGAAACGTTTATATACAACACACATATATTTATACATAATCAGAATAATTATACATATGAGATATGCCACATACGATATCATATAACATATACATATATGAACCATTGCGAAAAGTTGATACAATAAATAAAACACACATCAATTGCGTTAAGAGATGGGTTTTTAATCAGCTGGAAACGTTGAAGGTAAAGTTATTAATTTATTATTTAATATTGCTAATTAGATGATAAATTTTTCTTTGCTGTATTTTGGAAGTTAAAAAATATAAGAGATGCACTTTACCCCAAGTAAACCATATAATATTTCCTTTATCGGTTTATTATCTACACTAACCATTCAACAACGTATTCTTAAAACATGTACATAGGCTAGGTGTATCTTAAAATCAATCCACACTTTGGATCGGTATCAAATCCCTCGAAGAACACAGCAAAGAGATTGAGAGTACAGCGTTTGGCACAGATTAAGCCGGAGATTCAGTTTTGGGTCAGTGTAAGCTGCGTGCGACAGATGGAGTCAAATCGAATCGAATCAGATCAGATCAGATAGCTGGGAACCCGGTGCTCCCTCAGTGGTGATAGTAGGCGTGCGGGTCCACAGGAGCGGGTCCCGGAACAGGAGCGGGATAGTGGGCATAGGGACTGTGGGCCAAAGCGGGATAGGCGGCATGGAAGTGGGCGGTGGGCAGGACAGGAGCGGCCACGGGCACGGGAACTGCAGCGGGAGCAGGAGCTGGTGCAGGGACGGGAGCGGGACCGTGAACAGGAGCAGCCCGGTGAAGAGGACCCAGGGCCAAAGGATAAGAGAGCAGCGGAGCCTTGGGCACCGGCGGAAGTGGAGGAGCAGGAGCCGGACCACCGTAGCTAAGGTGAGCAGGAGCAGGAGCGGGAGGAGCAGGTGCGATGACAGGAGCTAGGTGAGCTGGTGCCTTGTACGCCAGCGGTTCCTTCCGCACCACCGCATTGAATCCATGGTGCGGATCTGCCGTGTAGTCCACGGTGCGCTTGGTACCATCCGGATCCACCACAGAGTAGCTGCCCTTCACCACATCTCCGTGACGCGTCTCGTGCTGCGACTTCAAGTCACCAGTATACCCGTCCTGGATGTCGTATCCAAAGGAGTACTTCGGATCGGGGTCGTAGGGCTCGGGAGCTGCTGGCTTGGGTGCCACATAGGGACCAGGCAGGGGGCCACTGGGCGGTCCATATCCTCCGTAATGATGCAAAGGTCCTGGACCAGCGGGGCCACCATAATACGGCCCTGGTCCAATCACGCCCGCATAGGCGATGCCGAGCACGGCGCTCAGCAGGGAAATCTATGAAAAATATTCAAGAAAGGAAATGTTGACTTTAAAGGATATTTTTAATTGTATAAATTTTAAATCAATTATTTTAAAAGTACTTTACATCTGTCTTATATTTTATTTTTCTTCATTACTAGAAGAATAGTAACGTCCGAAATACTTAAAGTCCTTTTAAAAACATTTATTGTAAATTAGTGCTCGAGAGTTTGAATTTAGCTTTGATAAGGAGGATGATGATTTTTCTTTGAATTTCAATATTTTTAATCTCTAAATCCATTTGCATAAGTTCACAATAAACCAAATCTTTGGCCTCATAGTCCACTTTCTTGTTGTCACACCTTCAGCATAACGATGTCCTTGCACGGGTATCCTTTCCACTCGCTCACAGTTGTCACAGACTCAGCACACGCCACTTGAAAAGTGGCCGGAGTAGCGTTGAATTCGACGACGATCGCGCTAGAAGAAGAAACCAAAACTGCAAGCGTTGGCTGGGAGTTCTGGCCATTTATACTGCAAATCGGCGGCAAATGTCGCCTGCTTCACATGGCGCAGCCGAAGCAATAAACTAATTTCAGATCAAGAGAGACCCAGCCAAAAGTCTTCGGCTTGGGCCAGCGATCAAGCACATGGCGCAGACAGCAGACAACAGACAATAAAAGCAGTCAGCCAGAGTTGCAGGTATGAATTTCTTGGGAGTCAAAGGGGATCGAGGGGGTGGCCTCTTGCCCACCTGGCGGCAAATCGTGTGCCTGGCTTCAACTTTGGCGCAGTTATCGTGTCGACTTAGAAAGGTTATTCTTCCGCTAAACCATTTAAAGGGTCCACATAGCCAGCCAAAGTTTGCCCTTTCACTTTTGTGGGGTTTTTATTCGTTTTCGATTCGATTTTCGATCCTCACTTGGACACCGACTTTTTTGGCAATTATGTGAGAATTTATTTGGCCGCACACAATTGAAATGTTAACTTAACATCGGCTGGTAGGACCTGCTGCATTTGGTCGCCACGTAATTAGCTGAGAAGAACGGCTGGGCCAAGCGACTCCATATGAAATGGCAGTTGCCGCGCATGCGCAAAAGGTCAGACAGTCCACAATTGAATTAAGAGTGCCTGGAGCGGGTCGAAAGACAGAGGCTCATCTGAGAAGCGGACGGGAACAGGGGCTGGCGGTCGCCACAGCCACCTAATAAAGCGAAAGGTCAACGCGCCGCAAACGGCACATTAGTCTGGCCCAAAGACCTGGCCAAAAAAACACTCACAGTCTAGGCAAATAATGTCATTAATAATACCCTTCAAAGAGAGGCATCATGACTATACAGAATTGACTCAGACAACGATGGTTAGGTATTAATATAAGCGATGTAAGGTGATTACTTTTGATGGTAAGGAATTCTGAAATAAGTTTTTTAATTTGTGTTTTAAAATAATATTGCTTGTAATACCTCAATTGTTTTTATTTTAGCAATTTCCTACCTTACATTAATTTCTAGGAATGCCTCATTAGCAATTATTTTCCATTCAATATTGAAGACCTATTCGACTTCCTAGCAAATACCCTTTGCAGCTTCTCACAGCCAAGTGTCTGCGACAATTCTTCTGTTTACCGTTTTGTGCGCTTAATTTATGGCTGCAAATTTGTATCTGGCATCTGGAAAACTATTGACAGCTGCATGCATTGTTTTACCCTTGTTGTTACCATCGGGTCTGCTTAAGCGACAACTAAGTATAACAAAGAATCAAAGTCGTGCCAACCACCATGCCGGTCGATGTCATATGTTTTAACTACTTTTAGCCAGAAGATCAAAGCAATTGATCAACAAGAATGTCAGGCTAATGCAACATGGTTGCAAAGTACCTTGAATGGGAAATTCAGCCACTAATTGATAAAGTAAAAACATCTAAGGTAAAGCCGTAAAATAACTAGGTATTTCAATTAACTTTCGCGATAGATGTGTCATATCTTGGCGGTACTTGAACGGCTACAGGTATGACAGCTGGAAAAACATTTGGCAATATATATTCATGCCCATCCAACTGTTTTTTCCCTGCAGAACGTGTTGTTAAAGGGAAATTATTACTATTTCAACGGTAGTTCCCTTACAATTCTGTTCAGTTCCGGAAGAGAGTTAGGAAGTACAAGTCGCTGAAAACGGTTTCAGTCGAAGACAAAGCGGCCAATGGATTTTAGCCAGGTTCTGGAAAAGTGTGGAAACTATGGGAGGTTTCAAGTAGTGATTCTGCTGCTGTATGGCTACACAAATATCTTAGGATCCCTGCACTACTTCTCGCAGACTCTCATCACATTTACACCCGAGCATTGGTGGGTGTGGAAAAACCAGTTGATAGGATTTCTGAGTAATATCATATTCTCCCAATTTTAGGTGCTCCCACGTTGACCTCGAGGATCTCAGTGTCAAGGAGCTTCGATCAGTATATGCAAACACCTCCGCCCCAGCATGTACACCCCTTCTGGGCGTGGTCGACGGCATGGGCGTAGTAGCAGAGGGACGTTATTGCAGGGATTGGATTTTCAAGAGAGAAAGTGGCTACGAAAGCATCACCACTGAGGTAAATATATATAATTTTTTTACAAGAAAAAAAATTTGTTATCATTATTATTTTTATTTTTTACAGCTCAAATGGGTTTGTGACAAAGCGCATCATCCAGCAGTTGGGCAATCCTTCTTCTTCATGGGATCCGTGGTGGGCACTTTAACTTTTGGATATCTCTCTGATCACATTGGTCGATTGCCTTCCCTGCTAATGTCCACCTTGTGTGGAGCCACGGGTGACTTTATTACATCCTTTGTGTACACATTGCCCTGGTTTGCCTTCTCCAGATTTGTGTCGGGATTATCTACGGATACCATGTACTATCTCATGTACATCTTGGGTAGGTTTGAGCATTCTCCTATCATTAAATTATTAAATGTTAAATTACTTACTTAGTATTTGAGTACCTGAGTCCCCAGAGTCGCGCCTTCGGTCTCAACATCATCTTGGCCATCTTCTACTGCTTTGGACTAATGACTTCTCCATGGGCTGCCATTTGGATTGGCAACTGGCGTCACTATCTCTGGTTGGCATCTTTACCAGCTCTTGGAGTTCTGATATATCCCCTGTTAATCTGCGAAAGTGCTCAGTGGCTGCTGACCAAGAAAAAGTACGGCGAGGCAGTGTCCTGCCTGAAAAAAGTGGCCAAGTTTAATGGCCGGCAGGTGGAAGAGTCTGTCTTCGATGAGTTCGTCAAATTTTATCGCAAAAGGGCTCATCAGGAGTCCAAGCTAAATAGTCAGGAGGACACTTTTCTAGCCATGTTTATAACCCCTCGTCTGCGTCGATTTACACTAACATTGCTGCTCAAGTCGTAAGTAATTTATTTAAGAATTTTAGTCACAATAATAGAAATACTTGTTGTATTTTCCTACCTTCCCTTGCAGAGTTATCATAACCCTCTCGTGCGATGTGATCAATCGAAATATGGAGGGTCTGGGTACTTCGCCCTTCAAACTCTTCTCTCTCACCTCGATCGTTTACTTGCCCGCAGGAGTAGCCATCCTTCTCCTCCAAAACAAAATTGGGCGCAAGGGCACGGCCTGCTCCGCACTCTTTGTGGGTGGACTCATTACCACGACGACGGGTTTCCTGATAGCCCGCTTGGATGCCACAGAGAACGCAGTTCTGCTGGCCATAATGATCGGCCTGGGTCGATTTGGAGCCACCGTTTCTTACGATGCGGAAATCCAGTATGCGGCGGAGATCATACCAACCAGTGTTCGAGGTCAAGCGGTGTCCAACATCCATGTGGTGGGATTGGCCTTCAGTTCGCTGGCTTTCTATGTGATTTACCTGGCACAGTACTACAAACCTCTTCCCTCAATCTTCATGAGCTGCCTGATGTTCCTCGGTGCAGGTCTCTGTCTCACTTTGCCGGAAACCATTGACAAGTAAGTTAACGCTAACCAGACGATCCATCAATTCACCGAGTTTTTTATCAGGAAACTGCCCGAAACCTTGGCGGAGGCGGAAAAGTTTGCTTTGGACGAGAGCTTCTTTTACTTTCCCTGCTTTCACAAAAAAGGTGCAAATTTTAAGGTTGAGAGTATATAATTCAAAATGAGACGACTGACTTAAGTAAAGAAGGAGTTAAAATAACAATTATTTATTTTAAAACGATCATTGTACATTTATCATTGTTATATGCAATGATAAAGACCATCGCAAAGACTGATTAAACATAAAGTTGAAAATGCTGTTGAAAGTTGAAAAAAAATTTTATTTGAAAAAATATATATTTATTTCAAGCCTTTCTCGATTCCTAATTGGATTATAAATCAACTCTTCGAAAAACGAACCTTTCCCAACCGATTTGATTTCAGTTCAAACTCAAGCATGCGAAACAATTATACATACGATAGAACACTTTTTACAAAACAAGTCAAATTACTCGTTTTTTGTAAGTGAAAATCACTACAATTTTCTTTCGTGACAAACAATAAACCAACCAGATATCGGGCAAAAAAGTTGCAGCCAAATTAAAAGATACCAATAATCTATAAGCCTATCTGCATGTCATTTTAAAAGCTTTACTTGTTTGTACGTCACATTCCAAATCGTAACTATAATAACTGTAAATAAACAGCATTGCATGCCTGCAATCACCGACCTCAAAAATCTATATTTATCTCCTCATCATAGCAGTCAGCAATAACAAAGGCCTAAAATTTTGTCGGTTCCTCGTAAAATTAATTTATGGTTGCCGCAGTAGTAAGTTAACTTATTTTTATTTTTTTAAAAATTTAAGAAAAATTTCCAAAAATTAATAATAGAATTGAAGGAAATAAATACGTACATATACCTACATTAAAACCCTACCCAGTTTTAGTAATATAAAAATATAATAAGCATTCCTTAGTCTATACACTTTCCGATAGCTTTCTTTCGTGTGTTGGGCAATTTGGTTCTCACAAAAATACGACTGCAAGCAATTCGAAAGCCCACATCAAACTTTACTTTCGTTCCGTGCGGTTGACATCGCAATTTTAATTGAGACGCGCGATTCTCGGTCGTTGACTAACAGAGTTCAATTGCGGCAGGCTGCTGATTGCGATGCAGCCAAAAGTCGGTTTCTTATCGCCAATTTTATGAACTTTTAAGTAAAAATCTTCACCTGGTGAATTTTGTGACACATTGCAGGTCCCTTAAAACCGAAAGAAAAAAACAGTGATTTTTTTTAAATTTTGTGAATAAAAAAACAAAAGCAACTAAAAAGAAAATAAAGTGGGTTCTAAGCCAAAAACAAGTGTAAAAAATCTTGTAATCTCACATAAAATGTTCTCCCGTTGTTGCAATTCCTAGTTCGACAGCGATTTGCTAACAAAACTTAATTAATTTGAATTGTTTCAGCTTGGTTTGAAAAACAAACGATCAAAAAAATACTTATATATACTTATACTTATATTCTGACGACCTATAGAAAGTTTATGTGGTATTCGCAAAGTGTCCAGTAAAATTACACAACATATGACGAAAGGCCGCAGCTGTCAAACATAATATACACGAATTATTTCTGATCCCGGTCTGTCAAGAATCACCGAGCACACTAATTGGTTTTAAAAATTAAGCGAGACTCGACGCAGGCAATTAGGCGAAATCGCAGATGCAGCGGCGAAGATGAGTCGGAGTGGCCTTGTGGCCAGGCTCTTCTCCATTCCCGGATAGAATCGTGAGTGGATGCAAGTGGTGCGCGTGCGAAAGAACGCTATGTTGGAGGTGGACAAAATTCTGGAGAAGTGCGGCGACTTCAGCCGGCTTCAGTTGGTGATGCTGCTACTGTTCTGTCTAATCAATATTCTTTCGGCCCTGCACTACTACTCACAAACCATCATCAGCTTTGTTCCCAAATACTGGTGAGTAAAGTTTTTGTGTTTACCATGTCGTATACTTAACGCGTTACTCATACGACCAGGTGTGCGGACGGTGTGTCTGCCAGCTTTGAACCGCCGCAAGAGTCGATCTGTCTGCCTTTGGACCGTAATGCCAGTAGTCCGCACACTTGTAACAGCTACGACTACGAGCTCTACATGGGCTACGAGAGCTTTCCCAGCGAAATGGACTGGATTTGCGCTGATGCCTGGAAACTGACCCTCGGCCAGTCCATGTTTTTCGTGGGTTCCGTAGTGGGTTCCATGGTATTGGGTTACCTTGCGGATGTGGTTGGTCGTTTACCAATTCTGGTGGTGGCCAACCTGATTGCCATGACCGGCAATCTTTTGACCATCTGGGGCACCAATGTAACACTCTTTTGTATCTTCCGCATGATTTCTGGCATTGCCACGGACAGCAACTTTGTGATGATGTATATTTTGGGTAGGTATTTTTAAATATTTATATTTTTAATAATTAATTTTCTTATAAATACTTTTTATATTCACAGTTATGGAGTACATGCGTCCATCAGTGCGCACTCTTGGACTTAGCATCTGCATTGGTCTTTTCTACTGTCTGGGTTCGATGGCAGCTCCCTGGATTGCCGTGCTCATGCGCAGCTGGCGGGGATTCCTGCTGGCCACTTCCCTACCCCTTTTGGTGGTTCCATTTTTCTACCTAATCGTTCCCGAGAGCATTCAGTGGCTGATTTCGAAGAAAAAGTACGACAAGGCTATTGTCTGCCTGAAAAGGGTGGCCAGGATAAATGGCAGGCAAGTAGAGGAGAGTGCCTACGAGGAGTTCATCGAGGAGTGCAAGTTCAGCCAGCAGAACGAGAAGACCTCACCCCATCTGCTGCACCTGTTCAAGACGCCCCGCCTGCGCCGGAACACGCTGATCCTCTTCTTCAAGTCGTGAGTACCCGTCAACAAACGAGCTGATGGCTGAGATATCAGGTGAATTCCACTAATTTCGAACCACCACGCGCAGCATGGTCATCACCCTCTGCTACGAAGCGGTATCTCGCAACGTTCAGGGCCTTGGCATTTCGCCATTTGTGATGTTCTCGCTGAGCGCCACCGCAATTTTGCCGGCCTGCCTGCTCATCATCGCCCTGCAAGATCGCATCGGCCGCAAGGCGATGGCCTCCGCCTCGCTGCTGCTCAGTGGCATTTTCATCTCGGTCACCGGCGGCATCATCTTCGCCGCCTCCGCCTCGGATAAGAGTGAGTTAACCCGATCCGTTGGGGGTGTACTAAGACATAAATTATGGCAATTTAATTGCTGCTCTTTAGCGGAAAATAAATGTCTTCTATAGTGGTTTATAAATATAAATGAACAGAATAAATTCTGGCGGTGTTTGTCAGCGCCTATATACAAGAATACCATCAAGCAAGTAACAAACTTAAATCGTGAATTGACAAGTAACCTGATTTCAATTATAACTTGCGGTCTATTAATAAAAATATTGTTTACAGAAGTAATATTATTATGTATTCTTATATGTATTCTTGATCAGCATCACGATCTGAATCGAAATACGTCCGAACGTCTGTCCGTTTCATTGTAAACCAGTCTCTCAGTTTTATAGCTATCTAGCTGAAACATTATTAAAAGTCATTTAGTTTTTACACGCAGTATATAAGTACAAACGGGCCAGATCGGGCGACTATATCGGATATCCCATAGCTAAGATCAAAAACAAACGGGAAAAAAATTATCACGCTTTTGTTTTTGATCATATCGAATTGATTTCAGATGGTGTTTTTTACCTACTATTGAATTTCAAATTAAATTCTATTTATTTATTTTAAAATCAATGAAACAAAAATAAAGCGTCGTTGTTTTTTATCGAACAAGGATGATTTTTGGAATATAGAGTTTTTTGACAACTCTTGAATTTTGAATAACATTTTTTAAAAATCGCTCGACCATATCATACAGCTATCATATAAGCAATCGTCGAAAAAATTGAAAATAATAAATAAAAAATAATAAATAAATCGTCATACCTTCGTTGAATTGATTTTTTATTTTTTGGACGATTTCATTTCAAATTTTATGATAGGTACAACCCCTTTCGAAATTTCCAAAAATGGTTTTTTGACCAAAATTCAGTAATTCTAAGTTTATATTTTCTCTTATTTTAATCAGTTATTGAAATGGTATGTCTTTTAAAGTAATTTTGTTTCATTTATTTTTTATAAATAAATAATTTAATTAAATTTCACTGCCTTAATGAATTTTGCTTGACATTCGTCATGACTTCGGCAAGCCGAAGCTAGCTTTCGTTCTTGTTATTATTTATGTTTCTATTTACCTTAAGGCACTTGTTTTTTTTTTTAATATTAACTATAATTTTTCAATATACGCAGTACATTTAAATTGTAAATTAAAAAACAGTTCATATTTACACAATAAGTTGATTAATAAACAAACTTTGTTTGGGAGCAGTACTAAAATGAAAACCTTTTCTCAATCAAAAAATGGTATAATTTTCTAAGCAGATATAACTGATCTTATTGATTTAACTAAAGCAGTATTGTGTTGTCGATTTGCTTATCACTTTTTAAACAAATTAAAAAACTTTTCTCGCTTAAATTGGTTTATACACAAGTTAAGTTTCAAATTTCAGTTTTCTAACTATTTTCCTATTCCTACAGCCACCACATTGCTGGTAAGCCTTTCTGTTGTTGGTCGCTTTGGAGTGACGGTGGCCTACAATTCGGGAGCACAGTATGCCACCGAGCTAATCCCCACTTGCGTTCGAGGCCAAGGAGTGGCAGCAGTCCACGTGGCAGGATACGCCTTCACCTTCTTCAGCGCCTACATCCTGTTCACAAGGAGCATCTTTTCGCCGCTTCCCGAGATAATCCTTGGAGTGCTCTCCCTGCTGGGGGCGTGTCTCTGCCTCCTCCTGCCGGAAACCCTCAACCGCACTTTGCCCACTTCCCTGGAGGATGGCGAGAATTTCGGAAAGAACGATCGCTGGTACACCTTCAGTTTCATGGAGAAACGAACTCCATCAGCCGCCACGCTGGCCACACAAAACGTCAAAATGTACTCGCAATCAACCGAATCTGCAGTATACTTCTGATGAAATACTAAGACAGAAAATAATAAGTAGATGACAGTTAAATTTATCTATAATGAAGGGTTTAACAAATTGTAAGTGTATTTATAAGTAACATGTATATACAAAGGTATTATTGTGCATCAAAAGTAACAAACAATAAATAAAAAAATATATTAGGAAGTATTATTCTAATTAGATTTTCCTTAAACAAACAGGATCTTCATTCTTGACTTGGTAAAACGTTCAAGATCTTTCAATTTGTGATAAAAACCACACAAAGTAAAAGCGAAAGTTAAATGCGTTTACTGGTCGATGGCACTTTTTTAGTTTCCGGGGAACACAAACTTAATCAGCCACCACGCTGGCCACCCAAAATGTCAAGTATTCGCAATGTATTCGCAATATTCCAACTTTGCTTTTAACTTCTGATGAAATGCTAAGAATAGAGTTCAAGGCAATTTAATATTATCACCGCAGTCGTAAATATTTTGTAAAGCAAACAAAGTTGTAAGTTTATTTACAAGTAATAAAAATGTTTGATAAATAATAAAAAAATACAAGTGTGTGTGTCGAGAAATATAATCACATCCCGCTCTATCTTGAAGAAACTTCGTTTTTAATCTTATTTGAAGTTTATTGAAAATGGTTCAAATTTAAATTTAGACGCGCTGGCGCCTTAAAACGTCAAGATGTATTCGCAATCGACTGAACCATCCGTCAACTTCTGATGAAATAATAGGAGCACACTTTTAAACAATGGAAGACAGTTGGCTATTATCACTTATTACAGTGCACCCCAAGTTTAAAATTTACATTATTGTGCAATCAACGGAATTAAATAAAAATATAACGTCAAATAAAATATTATCTTTAAAAATATTGTAATATATTTATTTCAAAGGAATTGAAAGCATTTTCAAAAATAAATATAATTTTTTACTAATCAGAAATCCCAAACAAACATTTTCAAATTCTTAATTGTGTAAAATCTTGGTCACAAGTTAGTTGTTTGAAACACAATGTAACATAAGTTAAAGTTCTAATTTAATGTCCCGAACTATTAGTCTGTGTATTTCCTACACGATTGTTTATTTGAATTTACTTGCTCATATTTGCAATAAACTTAAAGTTTATTAAAATAGTAAGACTGCAATAAAGATTGGCCGGCTTTATTGTGCTCTGTGGCCGTCACAGACTCGGAAAGACTCTCTTTGCCAAACAGAAGCCAGACGTCGGAAATTGGCCAAACGTTTGCTTTTTCTTAAGCCCCGCCCCGTGTGTGATAATCTGGAAGCAGAGACTCTCTGATAAAGTGTACTATACACCCGAAATCGGATAAATACCAGCTGCTCGGATCCAATCATAATCAGTAGCTGTTTTGCGATCAGAGTAGTTTCGAGTAGAAAAATGGATCTTCAGAGTGTCCTGGAAAAGTGTGGAAACTTTGGTCCATATCAAATCCTTCTGTTGGTTCTCTATGGATACGCTAATATAGTGTCATCCTTGCACTATTTTTCACAGACTATAATAAGCTTTACGCCATCGCACAGGTGAGCAGTTAATTCCTTGATAATAATTAAATATATACAAAAAGTTTATTGAATTTTAAACTATATTTTAATCTTCCTTATTTTACATTTTATTTGATTCAATTAATTTTTTTTTTGGTTTTGGCATAATGTAATTTTTTAAGTTACAAATGCTTATGCTAATGCTAAAACGACTATTTATTACTAAAATAATTCTTTAAAAAAGCACCTGGATCACATTTGATTAAAAAAAAAAAAAATCTGTTATTAGTTTTGTATAAGAAGAGAAATACAAAAATTTGTGTGCAAAAATCATATTACATGAGTTGTGTTAACGACAAAATTTTGGTATTTAAATATATTTTTAAACGAAAAGATTTGTTTTATAACGAATATCATAAAACGTGATCTTTTTTGAAAATAACATATTGCTGTTCGCTTTTTTTTTGTTAAGATTTCAATGTCTGAATGTTTGATGTTTCAGATGTTCTCCACCCTTGGACGACTTTCCAAAGAATTCTACCGAACTCATGACCTGCAATATTATCCAGTACACTGAAGATAGATCCTCTTTTCGGGAGTACAAATGCTCCTCTTGGGATTTCGAAAAGGAAAGTAACTATGAGAGCATTACCACCGAGGTAAGTTACAGCCGAAAAGTATAAAATACTTTTTTAAACTTAACAGTATTGTTCAAAATATTGAACACAGCTCGGTTGGGTCTGTGATGATGCCTACAAGTTGGCGGTGGGTCAATCCTTTTTCTTCATTGGCTCTGCTCTGGGCAGTATATTCTTCGGCTATTTGGCCGATCGGATTGGACGACTACCCGCCTGCGTGTTGTCAACTTTAACAGGAGCATCTGGTGATTTCTTCACTTCCCTCGCAGGAAGTCTTCCATTGTTCTCCTTTACACGCTTCCTTTCAGGACTTTCTATGGATACCCAGTACGTCCTGATGTACATTTTGGGTATGTACCGATCATTAACTTTATAAGGTTTGTATTGAAATTTTTATGTTTCAGTTTTCGAGTACTTGAGCCCACAACACCGCACATTTGGACTAAATATTACACTGGGCATCTTCTACTGCTTTGGCCTGGTGATCTCACCTTGGATGGCCATTTGGTTGGGAAACTGGCGCAGTTACCTTTGGGCAGCTTCTCTGCCGGGCTTAGGAATGCTGATTTTTCCTTTGTGTCTCCACGAGAGCGCCGAATGGCTTCTGACCAAAGGAAAATTCGAGAGGGCGGTGAAAAACCTTCGAAGCATTGCCAAGTTCAATGGACGTCAGGTTGAGGACTCTGTGTTCGAGGACTTTGTTCAACACTATCGCAAGAAGTTGAACAACCCACAAAATACACCAACGGACACATTTATGGGCATGCTGAGAACACCCAGATTGAGAAAGTTTACTATAATACTGTTTATCAAATCGTAAGTTGAATCCCAACTATCTGTAAGCTTTATTTCTAATACTTTTTCACAAATTCCCAGGATGATCGTCACTATGGCATTCGACATTTTGAGTCGCAATGTGGAAGGCGTCGTCCCGCTGGCCTCACCATTATCCTGTTCCAGAACAAAATCGGTAGAAAAGGCATGGCCTGCGCCTCGCTTTTTATGGGTGCCATAATCACGGCGGCCACTGGTTATTTGGTTGGCACTTTAGACCCGGCAAACCACTCCGCTCTCCTCGGATTCATGGTGTGCCTGGCCAGATATGGAGCAGTGGTGGTCTACGATGCGGAGGGTCAGTATGCAGCTGAGATTATGCCGACGAGTGTTCGCGGTCGAGGAGTGGCCAACATCCACGTGGTGGGAAATGCCTTCGCATTCTGCAGCTCGTACATCATCTTCTTGGGGACTTTCTACAAGCCGCTGCCATCGCTTCTGCTCAGCTTTGTTCTACTGATCGGAGGTTGTTTGTGCCTGGCCCTTCCCGAAACCTTGCACAAGTGAGTTTTTGGTAGTTATATCCCTGCAAATATGACATGTTTATTTTTCTTGCAGGCAACTTCCACAGACTTTGGAGGAGGGCGAAGAATTTGCCAAGGGCGAAAAATGGTATTTCTTTCCCTGTTTCTCGCGCAGAGAGCAAGCAAATAAGCACGAACCCCAACTGGAGTCAGCTAATCAAACTATAAATTAGTTCTGATATTATAAATACGTATTTAAAAACTAATACAAATTTATTTTATAAAACACCAAATTTTTTAGTGGTTTTGCTTTCCATAATTTAATCATACTAATAGAACTTATATCTCTTTAATTCTGGGCTTGGATACTTATACCTCTTGATTGGATTTTATTTTATTATTTAATAAAGTTTTATTTTATTTTAGAAATTGGAAAAGAGAGTGTCAATGATAAATTGGTATATGTACTTCATTGCAAGATCATTAAAATACAATATTAGATTGAGTGGCCCAAAATATGTGTGCTTTAGACAAGACATTCACTAACAGATTTGCCTGCTTCTATTTGCCAGAAATCTTTTTTTATTGGACCATTTAAGATCTTTTTAGATAAATCAGGGCGTTCTTATGTTTTGCGGGCGCCGCATTAATCGGGCGTCATTTTAAGGCTAGGTGGAAACTCCACACACGCCAAAATAGAAGCCAGACGTCGCAATATGAGATGTCCCCAAATGAGATAAAACTAGAAGATTTTGTTTGTTTGTCGAGAATTAGCGCCTTCAGCCGAGTATATACCGCCATCACCAGTCTTCGTTTTCATCAGTCGCTGCTTTGCAATCGCAGCAGTCTCGTATGTCGAATAGATCTCCAGCGTGTCCTGGAAAAGTGTGGAAACTTTGGCCCATACCAAATCCTTTTGTTGGGACTCTATGGATTCACGAATATAGTGTCCTCGTTTCATTACTTTCTCGCAGACTCTTATAGGTTTTACGCCATCGCACACGTAAGTGGGAAAAAATAATTCAAGCTTATAAAACAAGTGAAACTAAAGCCAACGAAAGTCAATCGGGAAATAAAACATTTGTTTGTGAACTATCCAAACCATTTATTTGCAAGAAAGCTATGACATTCGTACATGTGAATTATGAATTACTACTAATAAAAGTATATAGTGTAAAAGTTATTTTAATGTAAACAAAATAGTATGTATGATAAAACCCATTGCTGAAAGATTTTTGTGTTTTTAATTTTCTTTAACAATTGTTTTAAATTAATATGCTATATTACAGATGTTCTCCACCAGTGGATAATTTTTCGGAGAATTCCACCGAACTGTCGGCCTGCAGTGTTTTTCAATACAGTGAGGATGGATCCTCTTTTCGGGAGTACGAGTGCCACTCCTGGGACTTCGAAAAGGAAAGCAACTACGAGAGCATTACCACCGAGGTAAATTGCAGCTGAAAATTATAAAAAACAAGAAAGGAAGCTAGCTTCGGCAAGCCGAAGCTTATATACCCTTGCAGTCATTAAATATGTCTAACAAAATACAAAAAGGCTAAACAGCATCAAATTTATGACAATTTTTCTATTAATTTTCCATATTGTTCATATGACAGCTATATGATATAGTCGTCCGATTTTGATAAAATTTAATTTGTAACTCAAGACTCATAAGAAAACTCTATATTCCAAAAATCATGATTGTCTGATGAAAAACATCGAGGTAACAATTTTATTTCCGTTATTTCTATATAGATTTTTCGATCTTTCCTATAGCAGCTATATGATATATTACTCCGATTTTAATGAAATTTTTTTCTCGATTTAAGAGTATTTGAAAAACTTGATGTTCCAAAAATCATGCTCGTGGGATTAAAAACAACGACGTTATAATTTTTTTTCCATTATTTATATATATATTTTCTGATCTCTCCTATGGCAGCTATATGATAGAGTTATCCGATTTTGATAAAATTTAATCCCAAATTCAATAGTGGTTAGAAAACGCCATCTGGAAGGAATCAAGTCGATCTGATCAAAAACAACGGAGTAAGAATTTTTAATTTCACTCTCTCGTATGGGAGCTATCCGATATAGTCGGCCGATCCGGCTCGTTCCGACCTATATACTGCGTGCAACAACTAGACAACTTTTGGGAAAGTTTCAGCCAGATAGCTTTAAAACTGAGAGACTAGTTTACATAGAAACCGACAGGAGGACAGACGGACAGACAGACAGACGGACAGACGTACAGACGGATTTGGATTCAGATGGTGATGCTGATCAAGAATATATATACTTTATGGGGTCTGAGGTGTCTCCTTCACTGCGTTGCAAACTTCTGAATGAAATTATAATACCCTTTTGCTCTGCAAGGGTATAAAAATGTTATTCCTAACAGAATATTTTTAAACATTACATTAAGCTCGGATGGGTTTGCCACGATGCCTACAAGTTGGCAGTGGGTCAGTCCTTCTTTTTCATCGGTTCTGCCCTCGGCAGTATACGGCTATTTGGCCGATCGGATAGGACGACTACCCGCGTGTATTTTGACAACTATAACAGGAGCGTCTGGGGATTTCTTTACTTCCTTTGTAAGCAGTCTGCCATGGTTCTCCTTCACACGCTTTATTTCCGGCCTTTCTTTGGATACTCAGTATGTCCTGATGTATATTTTGGGTATGTAAAACAAAACCCGATTTTTATGCAGTATCTAAATTTCTTTTACGCTTTTAGTTTTTGAGTACTTGAGTCCGAAGCACCGAACTTTTGGGCTAAACATTATTGTTGGTGTTTTGTATACTATTGGTCTGATAATTTCGCCTTGGATTGCAATTTGGTTGGGAAAATGGCGAAGTTACCTCTGGGCAGCATCCCTTCCAGCCTTAGGAGTACTTATTTACCCCTTCTGCCTCCACGAAAGCATTGAATGGCTGTTGACCAAGGGAAAATTCGACAAGGCAGTCAACAATCTGCGCAGTATCGCCAAATTCAACGGACGACAAGTGGAAGACTCCGTTTTCCATGAGTTTATCAAACATTATCGTGACAAGTTGAACAGTTCGGAGAAGAAAAACTCGGACACTTTTGTGGGCATGCTGAAGACACCAAGATTGAGGAAATTTACTATTATTCTTTTATTAAAATCGTAAGTTATTCAATTTAAGTACCTATACATGACCCATTCTTTAATAATCTTAAATTTCCACAGAATAATCATAGCAATAGCATTTGACACACTGAGTCGCAACATGGAAGGCGTCGGCATTTCACCCTTCAAGTTATTCTCCTACTCGGGAATTGCAGTTCTGCCAGCTGGCCTTTCCATTATCCTTTTCCAGAACAAAATCGGTAGAAAGGGCATGGCCTGTGCCTCCCTTTTTGTCGGTGCCTTTATCACTGCGACCACTGGTTATTTGATAGGCACCTTGGATCCGGCAAACTATTCCGTTGTCCTTGGAGTGATGGTGTGCCTGGCCAGATTTGGAGCAGTGGTGGCCTATGATGCGGAGGCCCAGTACGCGGCAGAAATAATTCCGACAAGTGTTCGTGGTCAAGGGGTCGCCAACATCCACGTGGTTGGCAATGCCTTTGCGTTCTGCACCCCATACATCATTTACCAGGGAACGTTCTACAAACCTCTGCCTTCGCTATTGATAAGCCTCCTGCTCATCATCGGAGGAGGTTTATGCCTGACCCTTCCCGAAACTTTACACAAGTACGTTATTAGTTTATTTTCTGGTTTCATTAAACACATATATATTTATTTCATCCTGCAGGCAACTCCCTTCAGACTTTGGAGGAGGGCGAGGTATTTGCGAAGGGAGAGAAATGGTATTTCTTCCCGTGTTTTTCACGCAGACAGTCAATCAATAAGCGCAAGTCCCAGTTGGAGTCAGAAAATTAATTTAAAAATTAGTTATTAAACTGTTAATGCATTTAATAAATTATTAAAGCTTTTATAAAGTAGCACAAAAAAATTTTTATATTGCTCTAAATTTTTATTAGAAGTATACATATATTTACATATTTCATGAATTCAATTTCTAAATGATTTTACCATACTCGTAAAACTTTTGTAGTTAAAATAATTTTTTAATTAAATTTAATTTTTTACTTAGGACTGCGGTAAACTAGAAGCTAGCTTCCGGCAAGCATATACTTTTATATGTATATACCTATACTAGTATAAAATAAAGTCTATTAAGAACTTGAACTTTTATAGATCATCCAAAATACCTGTTAACTATTTACGGAGAAAAGGACTGACTTAAATATTCGTATTGTCCGTTAATGCTGATAAAAAAGAAAAATAACTGTATGGGGTCGGAAGTTTCTGCTTTACAGCAAACTTTTGACCTAAATTATCATAACCTTTAAGTGACGAGTTTTTATCAAAACGCTTTTATTGTAAAACAAAAGTGAGTTTCCGACGGAACGTTGGCTGACTAATTTACCGGCTTTAGTTTAGTGGGCCATTAAACTTTAGTTTAGATAAGCTAGTGTATACTAAGGCTGAGTGGGTCCCATTATTAATCGGTCGAATCTCCCCATACGCCAAAACAGAAGCCAGACGTCGCTTCAAACAATTTCATTCTTTCTTGTGCCCCCTGTGAGATAAAACTAATCGCGGACTTTCTCTGTTTGTGAAGTATTAGCTCCTACAACCGAGTAAATACCAGCACCTGGATTCCCCCTTTGCATCAGTTTCTGGATTAAGATCGCAGCAGTCTCGTGTTACAAAATGGATCTACAGGGAGCTCTCAAAAAATATGAAAACCGTGGTTCATACTAGAGGTGGAGAACTATCGATAGTCTGAGCCATCGATAGCCCTTGATAGTTTTCATAAACTATCGACTATCAGCGATAGCAAAGAAAATCTATCGTCGATAGTTGTCGATAGTGCAGAGTACATTCAAAAAAATAATTTAATTAGTGTTTCTTATGATATTTATTTATATATAAAGTATTTATTTATAAAGTATGACATTGGTTTTCCAATCTTTATCTGAAAAGAATAAATAATTATTATTTGAATAATATGATTTTGTTTTTTTAGGCTTACCTTAACTGCTTTCCATAAATTTATATATGTTCGGCGTTTTCCTTTAATTAAATGTATACTTTTATTATTATGTATTTATCTTTGCGAAAAAGAAACGCATGTATGTATGTATGTATGTATATATGCGTATGTATTTCACAACAAACTGTAATAGTAGTAATGGCATC